AATACAAAATAGGATCAGAGCAAACACGGACCTCCAAAACATCAGAGGTGCGATCAGGTGCCATGGAAGAGTGAGCATCCCCTGCTGACCGGGCGGTCACACCCGCTGAGTGCTCCTTGTCATGATCGGGAAATAACGGAAAAATCCGTCGTCAATTCATTGTATAAATAATGGACAAACAATAGGTATGAAAAACGTCAGTCAGCATTTGATTCAATGATATATTGTATTTGCTGACAAGGCCGTTTTATCGACCTAGAACTGATAACTTTAAACGAGACTGTTCATATTCTTGTTTTATCAACGTGTTTTTTTTTATAGTAAAAAAATTCAAATCTTGCGAAACATGTTTCACCATTATTTTGAATAGTTTAATGGGATTGAACATTGTTTAAATAAAAATACGATTATTAATGAAAAAGTAATTCTAGTCATTAGAGTTACCACTGTAATAGTTTAATGTTTTCTCATGAGAAATTACAGGGATGTGGTTTTTTTCCAGCTGCAATCGTAAGGAAATATCACTGAAATACATGTACTTAAAGTGAAAATTGACCTTAAACTAAATACCAAGCCTGATATACATTGTATGTGCGATAGTGTCAACCATGAGCAAATAAAATAAAAATGATGTGAATCGGTTGAATAAAAAAAGTGAGAATTCAGATTACGCGTAGGTGCTAGACTTGCTGGAAAGAGTCAAATACATGCAGCTTTTATTAAACAAAAAGTAAGAGCAATATTCAATTAAAAATTTATTTTAAAAAAGGAAGAACAATAAAGGTTCGGTTTTCTTTGAATTCAAGTGTCTTCCATCTTCTTGTTCAGAAAGATCTTTAAGAATTGAATACAAGTACCAGGATTCGTAACATATTTTAATTTCAATGTATATTATTGCTCTGAAATAGCATGAAAGACACATGGTTTACTTCCAGAATTGACAATCAAAATCATGTGGTCGGTCAAAAAAATTCAATAAGCCATGTCGTTGTTGATAGCGTTAGCAACAAAAATATATATGTAAAATTCTCATTGACATTAATGCAACATATTGTTATTTACCCTTTTGAACTTGGTAACATACACGGGTACAACTAAGTCATAAAAGTCAAAACTTTCATCACCGAACCTTGCGTGGATTTAATATTTCATAACATATATTAGATATCGCATATTTACTCAAGATTTTTTTTGGTTTGTTTTCATGAAGGACCAATTTGTTTTGGATAATTTTACCAAAAACTATTTTTAGCAATGTATCCGCTTAATAAATGCAAGCAAAGATCGTGAAAAGGACTTTCATATCTATTCATCTATAAATGCTTTAAAGTCATGATTAACAGTTTCTATCCTGGGATTTTGCAACATCCAGAATTACAGTCATCAAAATAATAGAAAGTCACGACATTTTATATCTTATTCATGATAAACTTTATTATAAAAATATGACATTTTACAAGAGAAAGATGAGGAACAGTAATCAAGTTCAAAAGTCCATTAAAACAGTACAAATAAAGGGAAGAGCCAACACAATCAATTCACCAGAGGTTAGATCAGGTGCCATGGGGAAGTGAGAATCCATTGTCAATCGGTCGCATCCACGGATGCTCCATAACATATCGGTCAAACGGAAAAAATCCGTGGACAACTCAGTGAGTAGATAATAGCATAATAAAGAGCATGACAAAGTCAGTCAGCACTCGACTTAATTAATGATAGATTTTATTTCCTGACAAGGTCATTGCATCAACCATAGAACTTGATAAATGATGGCTTTTGATATCCTTGTGTCATCAACTTGTTGATCAATAGCTTGCCTCAATTGATACATTGTTCGTACTTAAGCATGCTTTGCGTATCGAATCAACTGGGAGAGACAAGCTCCAATTAAATATTGCAGGTGATAAGGAGTAATTGCAATATAAATTAGGGAAGTTAACGATAGAAAAGTTAAAGTTATATTGCTTATCATCAAGTTTTGTTGGTATATTATTATTAACGTATTATTAATATATTATTATTTTCTAGTAAAATATCCAAATATGTCAATAGATGTGTCAAACTATCAAGTCTACCTAATGAATGAAAGTATCTATAGTTAACTGATAATACGTCGGTATATCTAAATGATGAGTTGAAAGCCTCAACAAGTATTTTCTTTTTCTCATGTTTAGATATTTTAATATAAATTCTGATTCATATGAATACAAAAAAGGCCTGCTAATAGTAGGGCATATTTGGTACCCATCGGAATTCCAACAGATTGTTGGATGGCATGATCTCCAAAACTACACACATACTGTCATTTAAAATCTCAAATATTTTAAAATATCAATCTCAGAGTATTTATGTGTACAACCACAATGTTTAAAGAAAATAATTTTAAAATTAACAAGATTAGTAAATTTACAAAATCCATCTTTATTGAGAAATCATCTGTTTTTATTTGAACTTATCTTATTGTCTATAAACTTCACAAATGGGATCGGGCAAAAGTTCTAAAAAGCTAATATGTCCTTTCCTTAAACATAAATTATACCAAACATATTTACATGTACTGGTCTGAGCTTCTGTTCTGAGAAGTAGTGCTTTGTTTTGATAATTCAAACAGCCATGCTGGCAAAATTTCATCATGTGCTGAGGCGCGTTTTTGTCAGCATACTCTACCATATAATAACGTAACTATATGCACACTTTTAAGCATAAATTTTATTTTCTCCAAACTTCACGACAAGAAACGTTAATTAGAAAAAAATGTGGGGGGAAAACATGTTGTTATGACAAATAATATACCAATTTAATTTTCGTTATTATTTTAAGCAATGAATCAAGATCTAGTAAATGAAAGGTGCCTACAGATTTATCAAATTTAAGATACAATTCCTTTGATGATGCTTTATAACTTTAACTTGGTCGTATAAGGTGTTTCGGGGCATAATTTATAATTAAACCAGATGAAAAATCATATTTTAAACTGTCATTTTCCTTGCAAAATTAAGGAAACCAGTCATGAATATGGGAGAGTTGTTTTTCATATCAGACAAAGAACATTTATCCAGAATGCCTATACAATCTCTCAGAAAACGTAAATCTGTATGATCTTGGCCTCTTCTTTAAAATAATATCAAATTTAATATAGGTATTGGGGTTACTTTTCATATGATTTCAAATTGAATTCCACGAAAATACTTTATTTTCTACATTATTCTATCAAAGAGCCGCAAAGTACGGGAAAAAGAAAGTTGAAATTGGTTATGACGTCATAAAGCATCTAGCACCAAAAGTCATTTAGATCTTGACCTTTTAAAAGTGCTAGCTCCATTATGACGTCATAATTGATTTAAACTCAATTTTTTCCACACTTTACGAGTACCATAATTATATAGAAAATGAAGCATTTTCATGGCATTCAATTCCAAATTATATCAAAAGTAACCCGGCTACTTATGTTCATGTTAATATCAATTTAAAGAAGAAGTCAAGAAGACATGAAAAACCGTTTTCTGAGAGTCTGTAGACAATACTAATTCGTTTCCTTCATCTGAAATTGAAAAATTCCCGTATTTATCCAAGATTTTTTTAAATTGAAATTGGCAGTTTGAAATATATATTTTCATTGATTTCCCTAAAAATTAAGTCCCCTTACATCTTACTTTACCTTGCTACATTTTTAAAGGATCATTAGAAAAATTTGTTTCTCATTTTTGAGAAATTTGTATGCACCCTTCATTTACTAGATCTTGACCTTAACCTCTTGACCCCCTTTCCGTGTTATGGAGTTTTTTTTTAAATTTTATTTTATACTATAGATTTCCACACTCTTTATATGCAAAATATATACATGCATGTGTAAATATAAAGAATTAAAATGATTAAAAGGATTTTTTTTTTTTTTAAAAAATTGCAATTCTGATATTATTTGACAATTGCTAAATTGTGGAAAAACTGCGGTATTTTTTTTTATTAATCATTTTTTTTTTAATTCAAAGATGAAGATTTCAGTTTTATTCAAATATTTCTATGTTAAAAAAAATCATTTCAAATCTTCAGTCGAAATAATTATGAAAGTGTATGGATATCAAATATGAAGCGTGACTCCATAGAACATGCAAAAAAAAAAAAATAAATAAAAAATCCAAACCCTTTTAATTACACAATTTACGCCCTTATTTACACCCTTAAACTTTTAGAAAGTAACGAATCCTGCCGCAGACAGAAACATAAATATTATTGATTTATTTAATTATTCTATTTATTTATACGTGTATCTACTCGCTCACAATAAACTTAAAATCTCAAAATAAAAACAAATAAAATTATTAACGGGGAAAAAATTATGTATGCTTAATCATTTTTTTTTATTTCAAATTGTAATGTTTCAATAGTGCAAGGCACATAAAAAATCAAAAAAAATTTTTACGAGTAAACATGCATGCTTATAAATATACTAACAACTATGCAATTTTTTTTTTTAAGTTACGAAAAATATCAGTATGATGGATGCTATGAAGAAGAAGTCGTTTTCTTTGATCAGGCTTATTTTTGCTTATTATGATTTGTGTATGCATGCATTATCAGCATGATCAGAATGCATTTTGTGAACTAATTTACAAATAGAACAAAGTATTAATCTTGATATTGCAATAAATTTACGAAAACTGATTAATGAAAATTAAAAATGCCATGTTTACATACATCATTTATATTGTGAAATATGCTTGCTCAGCTTTAAAGATAGCACAGGGTAAATATATTTATACCAGTGCGTTTACACAGACGCTAAATGTATTCTATTTATAACTGTGTATTCCTTGTTCCTAAAAGCTCGTCTTTGTTTTATCGAGAGTGTGCATATCATTAAACAAACTGTGAATTTACGTACCGGTAAACAAGAAGAAACTGTAATGTAATTGATTGACATATCAACCAAAATACGTCATAAAAAATTCTCTCCCTAGCAACCGTGGATACGAAACTTTCGGTAGGAATAACTAGTCAATATCTTGCTTGAGGTTTGACGTCACAATTAACGTCATAAACCGGGTCGCACTAAAACTCCGCCATGAAAACAAGAAAGAAAAGACCATTTGACTTTTGGAAAGGTGTTTTAAAGTTGTCGGAAGTCGGGAAGAGTTACAAGGATTTTAAATATTAATTATAAACAATGGTCATGGCGGATAGACCAACGAAGACCCCAGTTCGGGTGGGATTTTACGATATCGAAAGAACAATTGGGAAAGGAAACTTTGCAGTAGTGAAATTAGGCAGGCATAGGATTACCAAAACAGAGGTAAGCTCAATGTTTATTTTATTTTAATTTTAAATGCTATGTGCAGCATTTATGTATGACTGTTTATCTTTATTCGTGCACATTGTATATTGTGCAGCATGTCAATTAATTGGGGCAGCGAGGTGACAAGCCATTCACGCACCTGTCTTTCGCTGACCGGTGCACGTCTAGCCCCGGGCACTGCTCTACATGTGCAAAGTATGGTGTTACAGGCTCATTGTTTAGAGTTTTGTAGGGTAACATTCCACGAGGAAAGTCGGCATGCCTGCGTCACCCCACACTTCCTGTTTGCACATTCTTTTGATAAATACACAAACTGTGTGGATTCACATAGCGTATGTTTGAATGCATTGTAGAGAAACACCATTCCGTATGATTCACAACAATTTGCAATATACATCATCACTCAGTAAGAGTTAAAAGGGAAAAAAAGACAAATTAATAAATTTTGCAGCTGTAAAAAAAATCAATGATGCTTATATATTGTATTCTTACAATTCTTGTTGAATTGAGGCTAAATTATAGAACTCGTAAAAATAATATGCAGCAGGTTGTACATCTGTGTATCTTAACATGCTTATTTAACATTTATGATGCATGAATACGACAGACAAAAAGACATTGCAGTCAAAGAATTTCATCATGTTCATTAGCGTTAACAAGAGTGCTACCAGGTTATCAGGTTATGGGGTGTTATCTACAGTAAACAAAAATTATTACATTGCAAATTGAATTAATTCCCCCAAATGTTTTGATTTAAACATTACAACTAAAAGTTGAGGCATTTTCTAACCATATTTTATGTATGTTGTAAACAACTTCCCTAGCCTGCTCTTCATATAAGCTTAATATGTGAAAATTCAACACATTCACATAAATAATTTTCCAGGAATGCTATTTTAGATACTCTAGCTCTTTGTAACCGCTATGATAGATTGAGTATGTCCCTAGAAATAAACATTGTAGAAATGTTGTAAATCAAGTCAATACTGATCAGGATGGACTGGTAACATGATGCATGTTACATGAACCTGTTTATACCTACATTCATAACAAAGGAAGAAAACAAGCTGACATGCTCTGCATGTACTTATAACAAGCTAAGTCATGGTTTAAGGACATCAACAAGGCTGTATGATGTAAATACAAAAAAACGTGGGATAATGAATTGGGCAACAGCTGCCTCTGTGAGTAATTTCTTCCTCCCTGGTTACTGGTGGGGAAGACTGGTGACTTACAGCTCCACATACTTGTGTGTGAGATCACCAGTGTGGGACGTCAACAGAACGACCACCATCTACAGAACCAACCACAAACATCTCGAACTGCATTGTTTAAATTAGTTTGTTTTTTTTTAAGTCAAAAACTAAAGATGAGTAGATACACACTGATAGAATGATAAATTGAAGTATGCTTTGCATGTTGTACAATACACAATCTGCTTCAGAATGATTCATCATAGTTTTAAAAAATGGAAACGATAATTGTAAAAAAGGGAATTAATCATTTAGAGAATTCTTAATAATATTAGAGTATAAACGTTGTAGTGTACATCTCGTTAACTCGCAGTTTATGATGTAATTTTATTTAGACTAATGAAGATAATCACTTCACTATTTGACAATTAATGTTGTGTTGTCTAACACTACACAGAATTATGTCGCAGATAATTTCAGAGAAAGCAACATAAATATAAGCTGTTATGCTTAAAGCTTGCTCTAAAAAGATTCATCATAGAGAATTCAACCTAACATGCTTAATGTTTAAACAAATCAAAAATATTTTTATAATGTGCTTTGTATGTTAAACCTGCATTTCCCTCCAATCCATTGTTTTAAGAGCTAGAAAAACAAATTGCGTAGTAATGTTGTGGTTTGGCCTTTTCTAATGTGAGTTTGGTCAACACTATTGGGTCATATGGTCAAGGTAACAAGTGACTGATGATAGCTATATGTCAGGGAGTTAAGATGGATAGAAGCATATTTTACTAACAGTACTTGAAATTTATAAAATTTATACCAGATCTGAACCCAAAAAATGCATATAGATAGAAAATATTTTCCTTAATCTGGACTGGGGAAATAATATTTGTATGATGTTTTATTTTATAACAATTTACAACACGTGTACAAATATATAGATATTGTGATGACATCATTAAATTAATAAATATCATTTTTGTTCCCTATTTGACCTTGTAGTCATGTTAAGGCTGTGTGATTCATTATGTTACTGAAATGTCTGGACTGTCTTTGAATATGTAATACATGTACTTACATGCCTAGTGATATGCACTTGCACTTGTAGTAGCCCAAGTAATTACTCTTTAGTTGTTAAAGTAGTACTTGTGGGTTAATGTCAGATGTTCCTTCACACACCCTGGTTCAAACTTGAATATTACTTGCTTAGCATTTACTGATCTAATACCTTAGCTAGTAATAAACATCAAGCCAGTGTGAACATTTAATTAACTGTTAAACATTTAGTACCCTGGTAATCTTCAAGTCAGTGCAAACATCGAGTTGTTCAGCATTTAGTACCCTAACTGGTAAGCTTCAACCAAAATATGAACCCTGAGTCTGCAGTAGTATTGGGACACCACCCTCAGATTTTGTTTTGATTTGTTTAGTTACTGATGGTATCATTAGCTTAATGATCAGCATGGTTCCTTTTGATTCATGGTGGAACATTACATGGTCTCAACAACAGTAAAAGGAATGTGTCTGCCATATTCAATCGGACTCTCGCTATGTCTGAGGACCCCAATATAAAGCGGCTGACTTATTTACTCTTCAGTGTAATCAGTCGTCACCAGTATAGCGGGATGTATGCTATACAGCACTCTGTAATAACAAAAAAATAACTGTATACTTCATCTCGTGCTGGAAAGTAAGATACCAAAGAAACTAACAATAGTTGCACAGGTCAGTGCAGTATGCAAAGCAATAAAATATAAACAAAGATAATGTGAGATAACCAGCATGTCACAATTTTCCTATTTATTCCTCGATCTCATCTCGTCAACAAATTTGTTGAAATTTTATGGAAAAAAGATTTTCCCACATACCTATCACCCCAATAATTTTACCCTGAGTTGGGAGAGGGCAAGCAAACATTATTTTAAAGATCGCCTAATTGAATTACTTTACCACTAGAATTTTAGAATTTGACTATTTATCAGATTACTGGAATATAACCATTTGAATTAATTTACCACTGTGGTATTCTACATGCACTACTTATCTGAATTACTTTACCACTAGAATATCATGGTAATTTATCTGAATTACTTAGGCAGATGCATACTTTGTCCACCTGTTACTTTTATTAATTTATATTTATTTTCCCTTTTTTCACCTTCCAGGTTGCCATAAAAATCATAGATAAAACCCATTTAGATGAAAACAACTTGAAGAAGATTTACAGGGAAGTGAATATAATGAAACTGCTGAACCATCCTAACATTGTAAAACTCTACCAGGTAAATAGCCAATCAAATATCTTATCTGAAAAAATTATCCAATCAAAAGCAATTACTTGTAATAGTAAGATATCACCCAATCAAACACCATCATGTAGGTTGCAGATAGGATGTTAATTAGAAAGGGAAATGTGACTTGTTTGGAATTAAAGTTGACAGAATGCATGTTCCAGTCTAGGTAGATGTTAATGAATTCCTTAATAAGACCTTGTCACTGGCATTCTTCACTGCATATCACGGACGTGTTATAACCAATGACATGCAATCTTGTAGTTTCTTAAAGAGGAATAGAAAAAATGATATTAAAACTCAGCCTTTTATTAGTTAAATCTAATTTAAGGAACTTTAACAAAAGGATTATTGTAATATTGCATGTAGAATTAGAAGTATCCAGGCAGTAGGAAAAGGGGACATATTTCCTATACTTTTGCCCCTTTTTCTTGATCAATTTATCAATTAATTTACAAAGGGATCTTATCCTTTCAAGTATATTTGGAAACTGAGTATAATCACACTCCAGTGAATATATTGTGCAGTATCAGATGATACATAAAGCTAATTAAAGCAGTTCCTATGGTGATGGAATTGATTTTTCTACCGTTTTCTTGGGAATTATTTTTGTACAGTTTAGACTAGCTGTTTTTCGAAAAAGTGTAGGAGGAGCTTTATAAATTAAGGAAATACCAGATAACTGACAGTCAGCTTTGTATAGATTACTCAGCAGGCTTACAGAGTGCCTATGACGTTTATTTATGCTCACTTCAAAGGTGTGCAAGGGGCTATACAAACAGATCTATCTATCTGGTACCAATAAAATTTATTGCAAGTCAATTTTAGTACACTCTCAAGACACATTTTAAACATCCAAGTTTGTGAACTTTATCTAATATGTAGGCTGTTAACATTTATTATACTCTTAAACTCTGAAAAAATTACTTGTCATTTAGTCATGTGAACATATTACTAGAAGGAATGAAAAGCTTTGTCAGGCCCTAGTTAAAAGTTCGACCTGAAACAAAAGAAAATGAAATAAAGAAGAAATATATGTCAAGTAACAGTTGACGTAATTTGCATGTATTAATTTAAATGAAGTTATGATAATTAACTTAATGGCTGTGTTTTGCGGTAGGTTTTCTCATTTAGATGATTATGTACATGTACCTATCTCTGGGACAGTGTATGGACACTATAGGTGTATGGTGACTAAATGAACCACTGTGCGTCATATGTGATGCTTCTGACCTTTATACAAGATCTCTACAAACATTGAGGGAATTTGATTTCATTCAGTATTTGAACAAAATTTCTCTAAAGGTCAATTGCCTGACTAAAAGGATTATATGATATCTTTATATAGACATGCTCATTTCTTAAGTATTGATTAAAAAACAGGGGAGGGGGTCAATTTTCTTTTAATGGGCATCTTGAATTTTTTTTGTTTGTATTCCATAGTTTTGATGCCCTCATTGTCATTTAGCCCCCAAAGTAAGTGGAATGTAAATGGAGCCCTGTAAGAATATCTTAGCTAGTCCCGATTGTTTTATTGTAACATAAGGACATTTATTATCATCAGACAAGATTTCTTCAATCAATAGTCCCTGTTTCTAAGTGCCAAATTACATCTTCATGATCAGGTCGGGGGAAATTTGTTCAGGTAAAATGATCTTTTCACAGAAATCAGGATGTATCTTAGGTAAATAAATAAATGAATTTGAAAGGTTAGAATATATATTAAAAAGAAAGTGTTTTGCTCTTTATTTGGTATCCTTGTGTTAACCATTTACCTGTCCATGTACAAATGGCATTTTACCTGACTAATTGACGTGACATGTTTGGTTCTCGGAGTTTTTCCAGATCAGTGACCTGTTCCACATGACTTACCCCTAATTTCTTTTTGTCTGAATGATGAACGAGATCTTGTTTTCACGTCTTTCATTGACTAGACAGATTTTTAAAAAAAATGTCTTCTTATTTTGTCATTAATATGATAATGAACAAAAACATCATTCAAAGGGTGCAAGAACTCACATGTTTCAATGGATTATTGTTATATATTAAATTGTGCATTGTGCTCTATGGAGTCAAAATTTTCAGTAAAAAATAAACTTAACAAGGAGTTTCCCTAATAATTTCTGTTTCAATATGTTATACATGCAGAGATAAAGACTGAAAATATACAATTCTGAAAGTTTGAAAATTAAGGAATTTAGTTTACTGCTATATAAAATGAAAGTACAAATAGTATATAATTTTAGTATTTAGTCCCTCTAAAAGAGGTAGTCTATACAGGAGCATTTTATGGGAAATGGTACCCTATTCATTGATATAAATTGATATTTGTACTCTATTCATCATGTTCATAGATATATTGGTATTACATATGTAGTACCCTATTCATAGATAAATTGGTATAAGCATCCTATTCATTGATATATATATTGATATCTGTACTCTATTCATAGATATATATATTGGTATTTGTACCCTATTCATAGATAAATTGGTATAAGCATCCTATTCATTGATATATATTGATATCTGTACTTTATTCATAAGATATATTGGTATTTGTACCCTATTCATAGATAAATTGGTGTAAGCATCCTATATATTCATTAATATTTGTAGGGCCATATTTGTACCCTATTCATTGATACATTGGTATTTGTACCCTATAGATAAATTGGTATAAACATCTTATTCATTGATATTTGTACCCTATTCATTGATATTTTGATATTTGTACCCTATTCATAGATACAGTCAATTCTCGAATTATCGCCATTCGATTCATCGCCATTTTCGCTATACCGCCATGATTTCCCAAGAACGTTTTTCCTGCTATATATATAACGCCAAATTCGCATACCGCCATCCGCCACCCTGTTTTCACAACAAACGTCCATTTTTAAGTGTCAATTATCTCGATATACCGCCACAGGTGCATGTGGTCAGTGAAGCGCGGCTAATTGGTTGACACTATCCCTGTTGTAAAGCATGCAAAGGCAGACAAGGTACATGCAATTAAGTAATTAAATAAGAACAAAATAAACAATAATTTTAACATGAACTATTATAATAATTTTGTTTTCTGTTTAATAAAAATATTTAGTCACGGTTTCGCCACGAAAGCGGTCGTTGTTAAAGTACGCCGATAACGATAATATTTTGATGATCTCTACTTTTAACAATGAAAAGTTTGCTGAAAAAATAATTATACGGTATTATATACCGTATAAAATGTGAACGTTTCACAATAATGCCATAAACAGTGAATTTATTCAAGAATGCATTTTACATACTATCGGCAATATATCACGACGATCGACCCAGCATGTTTTTTTTTCAATATCAGGCGTGCAGATTTACATGCATACACATGTACATGTACTTGTTTTTATTTCATAACTGCACGTTTTATTTTAGCGAAATTTTACATTAAAAAAAATTACTTGAAGTATTTTCAACCAGAAATATGTTTTTATATACATGTATATGTATTATTAAGAATAGAAACGCTAAATGGTATTTCTAAGAACGGTAACTCTACTTGTTTTCTAAAAGATGGGAAATTCAATTCATCGCCAAATTCGTTATACCGCCATGATTTCTAACTTACAAAAGGTGGCGGTTTATCGAGAATTAACTGTATATTGGTGTACACATCTGATTCTTTGATATTTTGTAGGTGATGGAGACCAAAAACATGTTGTACCTTGTATCAGAGTATGCTCCTAACGGGGAAATATTTGGTAGGTGTCATTTCTATTATGTTTTCAAATAGCTACTCATTCAATAAGGAAACAGGACTTGTTACTTAATCTAGATTTGTATTTTTCACAAAGGAAGTTTTTTTTTCAAATTAAGGAAAAATACAACAATTATTTTGTGGTTACAAAACCATTAATGTATGATTTGCTGATATTAACACAAGCTTGTTTGAGATTGGAGGTTGTTAACCTGTTTATTGTATTATTTGTATTACGTCTATATATTTATTGTCAGATTACATTCGTACACACGGTCGAATGACGGAGCCTGATGCCAGGAAGAAGTTTTGGCAGATCTTGTTAGCTGTGGAGTACTGTCACTCTCACCATGTCGTTCACAGGGACCTGAAGGTAAAACACCCCGACTTCCCATACACACATCATCAGCTCCCCTCTCTAATTCATTCTGAAGACTTGGGGAATCCAAAATAGTTTTGCAATACTCTGTCAGGAATTTTTTGGTGCATTTGTATGATGGATGGGGGTTGATAAAAAGTGGAGTAATGGTACAGTGAGTTTTATGTTTCTTTCTCTCTGTGAAGTGAGCAAGAGGAAGCTCTCTGGATTTGCTTATGATGTAATTATTTCACCTACACAACAGGTTGTTGAGAGAGATCTTTGTTCTACATTGTTGTTCATGCAAATGAATTGCATATTTGAAAAGACATGGTTCTCAAGAAAAAAAAATGCCAAAAAATTGCATATGTAAAACATGACATTAATTATACAGTTTTGTTAAATTAAATCCATACACTGTATTTTGCTTAATACACCCTGTCCTCTAAAAGTCCAGTAATATCCACTTAGTAAATCAATGTTGCACAGACTTCGATTTGTTTCCTTTTTCCAAAGTCTTTGCAGGCTTCAACAATTTAATCCTGCATTGAACCAAATACCAAATAATAAAAACAGGAGGAAAATTGATTGCACTGTTTATAAAAGGTACACATTTGTTTAATTGCCACAAACCCTTCTCTGACGTAAAAGTTAACCTTCTTAGGATCATAAACATACACTGGAGGGAGGCCGGGAAAGGGTGATTATGGAATGCAGTAGAACAAGCTTTGGTGTGATTAAAATCGTGATAAGACAGGGGGTCATTGTTCTCGCACCTACAATAGTTCTTCTTTATCTGGCATGCCTCTAACCTGTCAAATTCACAACTTCAGCTATGTAAAGAATGGATTTTTAAAAGTTGAGTTCAGGACTGTGTACATAGAAGTGCTTCCTGATATTGGAGTAACCATTGATTTTTCAGACCTTTAAATGTATACTAATTCTGATTTCCCAGTGCAAGCAGGGGGTTTTCTTTTTATCATATGACTTCCAATATGTCCTTAAGATCAGTAAATGTTAAGCACGCAGTTTGTTCTGCTCAGCGTTCTAGAAATGGGTCAAATTCCCGACCTCCAGCAGACTTAGTTTAATGCGTTCTAAGTATTAACGCTGTGACGTCATAGGAACTTGTCCCTGATTTATATGCAATACAGGAGACTTCCTCACATAATTTGATTTCAAAAGCCACAAAACTCTATATCAGACTCATTTCATAATCAGGCAATATATATACTGTCCAAATAGGTAATTAATTATCGCTTGTTTGATCTCCTCAATTGGAAATGCCTCATTGTCTTTGAACTGCTAGAAGTGGCCAAAAGTGGCAGTACTAAAACAAACTATTGATGCAGGCTATCATGAGCTGAGGAATAAAAATTACAATGGGCAAATTTAATCTCCTGGCTGTCATATCTTTCCTGTTTCCCATTGTTTCCAGAAAAGGGAAAGTGTAAAGAATAAAAAGATAAAATAAATTAATCTCTCCAGAAAAGAAACGCAGTTAGCGTTGAATAAAATTAGTTTAAAAAAGTTATTTTATCGATGTTTTATTATTAGATGCTGAAAATCAACTACTGTTAGTTTTTAACAGAGAACTGATTCATAGGTTTTGATTTATAAGGTTGATTACAATTTCTATGAATAATATTTTGAAGTCATATCTGATTGCACTGAAACACGTGTTAATATTAAAGACGAGATTTCTCTCCTATTACCCTGTGCTGTAACAAGGGTCATTTGAGTGTACAGAATCCATTAGGATTTCTGTAAGAAGCATTTTGAGGCATTGGAAGCAGTTTTACTTGCGCTGAGTTGATATATTTATCACAAAGGCATTCATAATTGAATTTACACTTAACATATGTACACTGTTGATTTTAAATGTAATGAAATCTGTTAGGGATAATGTTTGTTGGCAGAAACAGAGTTTTTCCTTAGACCAAAAATAAAAACCATGATGATATATATTATAGATAACCTTGTTTTATATATTAACCTAATTAAATAAGTTTTATTAAAAAATTAATTAAACTTTATTAAATTTTGTATTCCATTTAGGCGGAGAATCTTCTCATGGACGCCAACATGAATATTAAGATTGCTGACTTTGGGTTTGGAAATTTCTTTAAAACAAATGAACACCTAGCAACATTCTGTGGCAGTCCACCCTATGCAGCGCCAGAAGTGTTCGAGGGCAAGAAATACCTCGGTCCGCAGATTGACATCTGGGTAATGGTTAACTCCGATTTTGTTATTGTGATGTACATGTATCAAGTTAGGAATAAAAGCCATTTTGAATGCAAATTCTCAAATATGATGATAAAATTCCTGCATAAATTTACTTTTTGCAAGACATTTAGATGTGAAGTATGTATTATGTTTCAAAAACATTTGCAAAATTTGATGAATGATGTAATTAATATAACATAATATGTGTGTATTATGTAAATGTGTCTTTGTGGTAGATGATAAACATTAAGGTTGCCTGTTTCAGAGTTTAGGGGTGTATAACGTAATGTGTCTTTGAGGTAGATGATAAACATTAAAGTTGCCTGTATCAGAGTTTAGGGGTGTATAACATTAATGTGTCTTGGTGGTAGATGATAAACATTAAGGTTGCCTGTTTCAGAGTTTAGGAGTGGTGCTGTACGTCCTGGTGTGTGGTGCTCTGCCCTTTGACGGCTCCAATCTACAGATGTTGAGAGACCGAGTCCTACAGGGCCGATTCCGAATCCCTTTCTTCATGACAGAAGGTAGCCACTCATAATCCCTCAATCTCCTGACAGTAAACATACAGCAGAGAAAGAGGGGGATCAATTAAATCCTGTTTTTTTGGTTGTTCATAATGATTTTTCTGAATTATTCCGTGGTATCAGCACCTGCACTTTGTTTGAATTAAAACAACTTTTATTTCCATAATGTCTTTGAAAAGCAGTCTAAGTAGTTTTAATGACAAAGCTTTATCTGATAAAAACTGGGGACAATTTAAGCTGATGAAATATCAGTGGAAGCTTACTATCGGTTGACGTGTGTCGTTAAGTAAGCAGATAGATACCTGTAATTACTGATCTGCTGCAGTTACATTTCTACCTGGACTTACTTGGGGCTCAATTTAATACCTCCTAGAGTTAATACAGTTGCTTCTTGATCAATATTATGTCATACTTCAGCAACTAAATTTAAATTGTACATTAAGCTGTAACAAAATGTTAACACAAAGATTATTAAAGTTCATGCAGTCAAGAATGGCATAACACAGAGATTTATTGTGTAAATTTTCTATTTTGGGGTCTGTTTACAGTCTCCTAAAACTTCACAGAAAGTAAAATAATGATTAAATCTTAGATTCATCTTAAGTGCATGTACATAAAAGAAGGCTATTAAATTAATAGAATATGTCTATGTGATATATTAATAGTTTAAAATAATTATCTTGATATTCAAGAGATAAAAATAGAATCAATGATATGTTTATATTAATTTTCACAGCATGTGAGAAATTGATAAGGAAGATGTTAGTACTAGACCCATCCAAAAGGTACACCATCAACATGATCAAAAAACACCCCTGGATGCAGGAGGACGGGGGAGCCCCAAAACAGGCCCCTCCCAGCCCCGTCATTGGTCAGAATGCTAAGATGGGAGAATATAATGAACAGATACTCCGGCTCATGCAGGGAATGAAGATAGATAGGAATAAAACTATAGAGGTAGACAGCTCAGTAATTTCACGTCAATTTTATTAGTAAACATTGTTGACATTGGTCAGTGCAATCACAAATATTTTGAATTTGGATTCTGTCTTGTGCTAATCCACAAAAGATGTAAGGATTAGCCATGATAGAATCAACTGTCTCTTACTTTTCTTTTGCTGTCATACAGATCAGAGCTTACCTTGCAAAGAAATTACTGAACTTTATTCAGCAGTCGTTATTTTTTCTAAATTTATTTTCAAGTATGTCAATAAAGAATAAGGTAAAGTTATATATTTTCCATTTTTCAGGCCCTACAGAAGGATGCCTATGATCACTACACAGCCATATACTACCTTTTAGTGGAACGATTACGGCAACATCGCAGCAGTTTTCCTCCCGAGACACGAATCGATATACGTAAAAGACGCCCTAGCACTATAGCCGATCAGGCCATGATGCACATGAACTCTAGTCAAGCAACCCCAGCTCAGGGGCAGCAACGCACAGCATTAGTCAACGTAAAACAAGGCAATTCAATGTTCAGCCATACCACGGACTGTGTAACAAGTACCAGTGCTAACACTAGTAATTTATACCAGTTATTTAACGACAGTGACGTTCAGACGCCCTGTGGTGTTACAGGGTGTCTCCCTGACATAATGCCCAGCCCTGTCAAACCCCCCATCCCCACTAACAATCTTCACATGATCACCACCTCCATCGACGAGGGGGTGGAAGCAGACATGACAGACTCCGAAAGTGAAAGTGGAAGTAACGGTAAAAATAATGTTCAATTCGTCAGGGATGGGTATGGTATTGGATTAATTCCCAGTTGTGCTTTTGGTGACTTTTCTCAGTTGAATAGGAATACAAATAATAGTTCTTCATCTATAAACACTGCCTCTCCGTTTACTAGTTTTGACTCCAGTTTGGAACCTGACTTTTCTTCTACTGTTTTAACTTCATCACAGATGAACTTTTCTGGTGTAGAAAGTCCATCTTTTTCATCCATATCCAATACATTTACATCATCAGCAGGTGCTAATTATTCCATGGGACAAACAAACCCAGAGTCAGAAAATGAAGAAGACCCTGTGAGAGATCGCAGTCAAACAAGATCACCGGTGAATTTCAGGGAGGGACGCAGAGCATCAGATGGGCTGGTCACCCATGGGATCATTGCTTTCCGTCAGAGATTAAAAGAAAACATGCGCGCCCCTGGAATGACAGAATTACGCAAAGAACATGACACATTACAACAAATGTTCTCACCCAATATGACTCCAGAACAAATTCAAGTTTTTCAACAGCAGCATACAGCATACATGGAATCAAGTGGGCATCAGTGGCCAACAGAAGAGCAGAATCAAAAACCTAGACCTCGACCGTTTCTGAAACGGATGAGTTTACCATCAGAAAACTTCGATATTCAACCACATAAACTGTTAGCTTTGAAGCAAAGCATGCAGGTCGAGCGGGCCATGGATCGCGTATCTAGTCACGAGGAAGTCGCCAATGATCCAAATTCATTTGAATACATGAATAAACCACTTCAACAGGCTCTTCTTCAAAGAAATCTTCAGCAAAAACGGCAAAGCTGGCAACAAAAACATCATTGCCCTCTAAACCAACAATTTCAAAAACTTCAGATTGATCAAAATACATTTCAACCTTATCCTAGTCCAAATATTCAAATGCTTCCTGAGCAGGCAAGTCAGCCTATGTATGGAAATCAATTTGCTTTGGGTGCCAACATCGGAAACCAACGAATTAGTGGGCAGTGTGAGGATCTCAATTCCATGGGTCGACCACCAGTCATACGAAAAGTTTCATATAAGTTAGCCCAACAACAGCCAGTGATGCCCCCTTATCTAGAGGAAGGAAACAAAAATTTACCTTTCAGCATTGGCCAGCTGCAAGGGAACCAGCAACTGATCAATTTTGGTGGAACACCAGTCTCATTTCCCCAAGTTTCCTTGCAGTCGGACACACCTGTCGTCCAAACAACACCTGGAAGAAAAAATGCATTTATCCCCCGTGGGATGGACCTGTTAATTCTACAGCAGCAGATCGCATATCAGCAACAACAACAGCAGAAGACACTGCCAAGCATGCCCGGGATGGACGAATCCGACCAGGAGAATGAACTGTGTGAGTTGACGGCTCCGTCAGAATATCAGACGGAGTGTTACCAGGAAAACAATCCCCCGACAACGGAGATACAGAACGGGGAGTATCAGGAAAACTTTGTCAACAACCAGGCGGTTCAACCCGAGACGTGTCAGACAGTGAACGAGGAGCAAATGGACTTCTCGTGACCGAGTTTGTTTGTTTTACCCTCGTGATTCAGTGTGTAGATCTGTTTTTTTTTCTTCTTTTTGTTTTGTTTTTATTAATATTTCTGAATTCAGAGTAAGATTGAATTTTTTGAATAATGTTTCAGATCAAATGTTTGAGTGAATATTCTTTTTATGAATTCAGAACTGAACAGTCAGTTGTTGCTTTAAACATGTTAAAGGGTAAAAATCTCAGAAATTATGAAATTTGTTATGAAATTCTTTCTGGAAGTAATTCTGTCAGAAATTTTGATGGGAAGTTTGAAAAGAGAAATACAAGTCTAATGTTGACATTAGAAATGTTGATTGTTTTTTTTTGATTCTCAGCAAGTTTGTGTGTGGGTTCTGAAAAGTGACTGTTGTTTGAAGTCGTTACCATTAACAATAATCTGTTTTGTTCTCATGCACACATGTAACTAAGTGCTTATCAACTGAGAATTGATGTCTTTCAGGCAAAGGGGATTTTTGAGTTTGTGCATGTATACATGTGTTTTATAGTAATGTCTTTCACTAAAAAGTGACCATGATCATCTGTTGTACATTATTTAAGGAGTTTTCTCTATGCATCATAATCAATTTTTGTCATTTTCCAAGAGTATTGGAGAAACCATTTGTTTATAAACCAAGAGATTTTGTGACTTGTATGTTTAGAGCTCTTGAGAGTTTTTATTATAACTTTTAGAGTTTTTCTCTGTACCCTATTTGTTCAAGATCTTTTACTCAAAATATTCAATCAGTAACTTGTAAAAGATGTCCATGGGATTTAAAGCTTGACAGCATATTGATTTGTGGATTATTTTTCTTTTTTTCCCCAAAATTATTAATGAATTTGAAGAGATAAGTCAAGGTCATCATATCTTTCAAGGTCAATACATATTTTATCCTCCCTTTATAGATTTACTTCTAGGAAATATATTTCTATTGAAAAACTTTTGGACCAAACTCTACTTTTGCCCCCTTTATAATATAGCATAGTTTTTCTTTTACATTAAAAAAAAAAATTCTAAGTAACTCAAATAACTTAAAGTTCTCCAGGAAAAAGATTTTTTTTGGGGGGGGGGGTCCATTGATGAAAGTTTAGGACTTGAAATAAAGTGTAAAATGGATTTGTATTCAGTACTGGTATGATCAAAGATAAACTTGCCAAAGCACAGAAAATCTTTAAAATATTTTTGTTAACACTAACAGTGCTGAATGGAGTGACTGAATAAGTGTATTATGTATGGTTGTATGTGAGTGAAATGTTATTAAGTGTTGTGGTGCTATGTAGATTGTACAAATATCATTCATTGTACACTGGGCAGGACTCAGTCAGTCCAAGTTTCCTCTGACACAATTACAAGGGACATGTATTTGTTAGAAGTCTTGTGTGAATGTAGCAAATGTCAGATTACTTCAGGATTTATGTGTATTAAAGGCAAGTGGGGGCTTAATGAAATCATATCAATATAAAATGGGCATATGACGGAGAAGTGAATGATTTTATTGAGTTAATTTGGTTAGATGTTTTACATGTAATATGATTACACCCACAACAGTAGATTATCATTGAATTCTCAGACAGGTTATATCAGTATTGCTCGTCAGTTATAACAACACACAGAAAAACTCATCTTTGTAGGAATAGAATCAGTTCATTTAAAACAGCTAGACATTCTGCTAATCAATTTTTTAAGAGTTCTAACCGTTCTTCACAAAGATTGTTAACATAAAATGACTCAGCTTTACATTTTATAAAGTTAGGAAATGGTAATAAATTGAAATCTTGCGTGTCTAAAAAAAAATATTTATTATTTGTAACAAATCTAATTTTGAAATATAATTATAAACTTGATCAAGACATAATGGGGTCCATAAATGTTGACTGGAAGTTGTTTTCTGTGTACAAACGGATTGCTATAACTTGATGCTAGGAATCAGGTTAGGGCTTGGTTGATGCATTTTAACCTGACTACATGTACATTGTGCAGCCCAAAGGGCAAAAACTCTGTTAGTTATTTTTGACATGAACTTGTTATTGTATGAATGTATAGATAACTTTATCAGTCATTAAATTGTTATAAATAATTTAATACTTTGTTTTCTTTCATTGTTTAGTGTTTATTTGAAACATTGGAATGGAATTGAAGATCTTCACCTTTGCATTACTTATGCTTAATATGCTGTGCAAATACTCAGTTATAGGTCTGTTATTAGATGAATAGGTTCTGCTACAATAGTAAGACAGGTACAATGTCTCATTGGCAGATTCTTAAAGCCGATTCCTTGGAATCGGGTTCAAAGTAGGAACACTCTCAAGTCAGCATTTAAATTTTATGTATCTTAATTTTCAGTTTACGGATATGATTAATTGACAGGTTTATAAAAAATGTCAATAGCAATTAATGTGAAATATTTTGTTTTATTTTCAAAATCACTTTTACATTTTTAGCTCACCTCAACGAAGTTGGGGGAGCATATGTAATACCCTCGGCGTCAGCGTCCCAGGTTAAGGCTAATTTTTTTGGAGCAGTTTTCTTTTTAAGTACTTCTATGTCCTATATTGATTAGACATGCATGGAAGATGCTTCTAGTGTGTTTCATTGTACCAAAGTTTCAGATGCTGCAATTTCAGCAAAGGAATGACCAGGTTAATGTTTTTGGAGCAGGTTAACATTTCTGGTGCAGTTTTTGGTGTATGTCTCATTTTCCAAGGAACTATAAGCCCTATGTTGACCAAACTTGCACGGATGAGATATCTAAGGATGTACACTACCACACTTGCTTCGGATGCTGAATCTGACCTACATTTTCCGGTTGAGTGAACAGGTTAATGTTTTTGGTGTAGGTCTCATTTCCAAGTAACTACGAGGGCTGTTCAATAAATAATGTCCTGAACTGTATGACATACAATACCGAAATCATATGACATTAAACTTCACTTTCTCTGATTATTGAATCTTTACTGAATTTATAACAGTTTATGTGACCACTTTTCATCACATAGTTTCATCGTGAGAAGGTGGGAACCAAGGGCTGTTCGAGACACTGCATTATAAATGAATGGTAAAGAATCGGTAAACTAGAGTGAAAATATAAGGTACATTAAAGCTGCTGTAAAACTTGTTAAAATCCCGAAGAAATATTCACTGAAATATGTGACATTTGCAGCAACCAATGCCTGTTTTATAGATAAATGAGCAGATGGATTTCAATGATGAGAATTTATATAGTGGGCATCAAAGATGGGTACCCTCCTTGCCAACAAAAATTATAACAACTTATGTACTATTGGCCAAATTTCAACAAATAATATTTTATGATGTATGATTGGCTTTAAGACACATAGCAAATTTGATAGACATCATATCGGGAGTAGTTTACACTGTTTTTAAGAAATGTTTGACAGTAAAAAAAGCTTGGTACTCAAAGGTCACCCTATATTTTGAAAAATAAGTGAAAACGACAGCGTGTTCGAAAGACTTAACAATTATTTTAAAATATCAGTAATTGTAGTTATCCACGTTTGTTTTATATTCAAACAGATATTGGAACATGAATCTATTGCTTAAAACCATCAAAACAAAATTTACCATAAGATGTACATGATAAAAACGGCGAAGGTCGGACAAGAGCAAAGGTATGCAAGAGCACAAAGACAGATTAATATGCAATGTTCTTAAATATTGGTGGTATAGTTGTTCAAATTCGTATTTGGGGAGACAGTTTAATATCTGGAGGAGTCTAGAAAGCAATTTTTTTGCAAAAAAATCAATAGTTTTATTAGAGGAAGGACCTTAATCAGGAATCCACTACACTGAATTTCTTCACGACAGCGTCCAAACCCGCATGTTCTGAAAAGTAAAGGGGTTTTCGGGATAAACAGAAAGTTAATGTTTATTCACATTAACAATATTTGCCAGATCTTGAACCTTTTGACTTGTTTCTATTCCCAAACTTTAAAAAACACCTTTCAGAAGGAAAAAAAAACCAGTCCAGGAAATCATTGGATCTGCCATTTTCCAGTATACTAAGGGTCATTCCCAAAAATGAGTTCTAAAAACGATCAGAAATTGGATAAAAAAATGTTAAGGACATGTGTTTGAATTAAAAGAGATTAATAAGTAAAATCATAAAGACTAAATCATTGAAAAGCGTCGTTTGCTTCTTTCTGAGCACTGAGGACATTATTTATTGAACAGCCCTCGTATAAGCCCTATGTTGACCAAACTTACATGGATGATACATCTAAGGAAGTGCACTACCAGACTTGCTTCGGATGCTGAATCTGACCTACATTTTCCGGTTGAGTGAACAGGTTAATGTTTTTGGTGCAGGTCTCATTTCCAAGTAACTATAAGCCCTATGTTGACCAAACTTGCATGGATGATACATCTAAGGATGCATATACTACCAAACTTGATTCTGATGCTGAATCTGACCTACTTTTTCCAGATGACTGAACATGCTAAAAGTTCTTGGTGCAGGTTTCATTTCCAAGTTACAATGAGCCGTATAATAACTAAACTTGCATGGATGATACATCTTAGGATGCATACTACCAGACTTGCTTGGGATGCTGAATCTGACATATTTTTTTTTCTGGATGAGTGAAGAGGTTAAACTTTTATGCAGATTTTATTTCTAAGTAACTGTTAGCCGTATGTTGTGCAAACTCGCAAAGATGATACATCTTAGGATGCACACTGATGGACTTGCTTCAGATGCTGAATTCGACATACATTTTCCAGATAATGAACCAGGTAAAAGTTTTGGGTGCAGGTCTATTACCAAGAAACTATAAAGCTTATATAAACCAAACTTGCCCAAATGCATCAAGGGATGAGAGCTCTCAAACTTGCTTTAGATGCTGGATTTTAATCACATTTTCATGATGAAAAACTAGTTTGAAGTTTTTTAAAGGTCTGTTCCAAAGTATCAGATCAAAATTGCATAAATTTTGCATTTTTTGATGTACAGATTTTGTTGGGTAATTGTCTGACTTTGCCTTACTTAAAGACAACATTCGTTGAGGTGAGCTCTGTAATCTCTGATTACCTATGTTTGTTCCAAGTGGTCAGAATTCATCAGAATTACAATACCCAGGAAGAAAACACTTGCAATGGCCTTCAACTCGCCATTCAATAGATTTATCCAAGTGGACTTGAAATAAAAGATGCTATAGAGTCTGCCGCATCTGTGTCATATTTGGATGTATTACTGACTATTTAAAGACGACCAAGGCCAGCTAACAAATGGCTTCAACTTACCCATCGTCAACTTTCTTTATTTTTGTAGTAATATTTTGCTATCACCTGTTTATATATTGTTACTTAAGAGCATGCTCTGAGTACGGTTTTTAACCGAGGAAGGCTACTGACACATAAGCAGATGTTACAGGGATTTCAACAACCTCGTATGAAGCTATCATTTCCTAAACCTACATTCTGTCGTTATCATGACCTATACAACCTTTCACTGGGTCGTATTTTGACTGACTTGTTTTTACCATACTGTTAGGTCTTTATTTTTATACCCACTCTTGAAAAGCGGGAGGGTATATAGTAATCAGGATGTCCGTCCTTCTTTTAAGCTTTGTGGTACCCATCTCTTATCCGCAACTCCTCTCATAACCATTGAATGAAATTTGATGAGACTTTCACAGAATCTTTATTACATATTGCCATTGTGCAACTCCTATTTTACTTTTTGAGCCGACACTTATTTTGGGTTTCCCATAGCAAAACATGGACACTGCCATTATATTCATATGGGAGGCGGGGGTATCATTTAGTGAGCTTATTGCTCACAGTACCTCTAATTTGTATTATACTTTACGGAATGTTCCATACATATTTAAGGCACCAAACGGTGGATGTGAACAGTCAGCGGATCCCACATCTGATGTTTTGGAAGTCCGTGTTTGTTCTGCTCCTTTTTTGTATCTTTATATCAACAGTATTTGAGCTTGAATACTGTTCGTTATCTCCGTATATTTCATTTAAGAGAAGATATCTTATTCACCTAAAATGAATAATCACACAAATAATGTAATTGATAGACCAGTATATATACTAAAATCATACATTAATCTATGCATATGTATGAAAATGGTTTTACAGTCTTTAATTGGCACACTTTCAATTGATATTGAATGTAATTAATTTTGTGATGAGATTAATGGCTATAATTTTCTTTCAAAAGAACAGGCATAGAATTGAAGTTATTAATTTTTTTTATAGAATTTACACATAGGATTGTTTCCGACGGACATATATATATATATATATATATATATATATATATATATATATATATATATATATATATATATATATATATATATATATATATATCCTAGCATGTAAAACTATGTTTAGAACGAGGGCATTTGTCGTACATTGTCGCACTTTCATATACTAAAATTATACTTTATATTAAAGAAGGGGAATCTGCAAAGTACATTAAAAAAATAAACTGAAGTTGAAGAAAAATAAAATTTGAAAACGTTTAAATTGTTTATGTCTGTTGATTTGTGTACACTCTGCAATTAAAACACAAAATTAATATTAAAGCCTTAATCATAAAATATAACGGGGATTGTTTACAAACACCGCGGTACAGGTGTTAATTGTCAGATGTGAAAAATATGTCATTATTTTAAGATGAAATTTTTATTATTCATCAGTTCTCAGGCAATTAAGTAAATCAATTTTCTGAGTACAAGATAAACAAGTTTGTTGATGTTTGATCGCACTTTTCACCGTGTTTGTGAGCAACATACTTCTATCTTCCCCCATACATTTATTTTGCTATGAAACATCCCCCCCAAAAAACAACAACAACAAATCAAGCTCAAAAGTCCACAGAAACAATACGTAAACACAGACCTTTACAAACATCTGAGGTGGGATCCAGCGCCGTAGAGGAGTAAAAGTACCGGGGTATCCCCTGACGACCGATCATGCTTGCAGTATGCTTCTTGTCACTTGTGACAAAGTCATTGTTTATACCATAGATTTTTTCGGGATGTTGACTTTAAATGAGACTTATACCGCTGATATCCTTGTATCAACAAATTATTTTTAAAAGG